CTTCATTCCCCACTCTCTGTTGTGCACAAAACTGCTCTTTCACTCTCCCACAAGCAAAAAATACAGCAATACAAGTGTTTATTTCCTTCCTTCTGTCAGCATGTGTCTCATATTTCCTCTGATGGCCTGTGGGACCCAAATGCCTGTTAAGCATTACAGTATGTGGGCCATTTTGATCATTCAAGTAATCGTCAACACAGAAAGTTTGCCCTCCAACAATAAAAATAAGTATACTAAGCGATGCCAGTCCAACATATTCCCTGGAACTGCATCATAGTTTTCTTAACAAATCACAGAATGGGTGCATATGTGTGGTAGATGATGGAAACATGCACTTACCACCAAGTGCCAGGGGCCTGCTAAGGAAAAATGCTTACATGCTTGCATACACTGGGCTTCCACTTAATCCTTTGTCCTTCATTTATCATGCGTGAACAAAACAGACATCATACACTTACAGCTGATGCTTGACACTGCTTTTTTTGTTTAACTTTTAAATCTATGGGGATAATGCTCATGCAAGTAAACAGCTGTCGGAGCTTTCTGTTCAGCGTTAACCTGTCCTGTTTCTGTGCTATAAAAAAAGCAATCAAATAAAGACATAGCCAATCACAAGCCCTGGATTTGCTACTGTTGCTCTGTAAAACACACACTCTTTTGCCAATTGTAACTCTAATTTCCATACTTTTTCTTAGGCTTCGAATCTGAACTACATTCTCCTTCAGTGACCAATAAAAGACAGATTCCCACTTCAGGAGTGTATGTGTCCAGTAAAAGACAGAGAATCATATGTACTGTCACCCAAGCTTCCTCTGGGATCCCTCCAGACTCCTCTGAGCAGAAATGGGAACACTGGAGCAGCTTTCATGATGGCAGTTTGCACCACTTTCTGGGTAATGTAAGGAGCGAGGAGAAAGAAACAATCATTTAGAAGTAAATGGCAAGCACCTATTATGTCTGCAGGGCTTCTGGGAAACTCGTACAAGGAATTGAAAAGATCTGAAAATCAATGCTCACTGACCATATGGTACAGTGGAAATGAGCGGTTTTATTTAAAATTGGATGCATTAGGAGAGAGAGAGGCCTAAACTGCGGACTAGTGTGGCATTGCAAACTTAATATTTGACCCATTTTTTTCAGTTCTCAGTTCTTTTTTGGTGCTGTGTGTGATATATTTATAATTTTCTAGGACACCTTGACATGAGTGTTTCCATCTTTGTCTTTTTTTTTTCTGCTGTGTGTTTGGAATCCCACAGGAGAGAACTGTCACCAGAAATCCAGGATGGTAAGCAACCATGCAGAGGGAGGGGGAGGGATGCCTTGCTAGTTGTTTAAACCAAAGTGTAAGTGAATAGTGTATGCATGAGTGAGCATGTTTGTGTATTGAGTTTAGAGATTTGCACTGATGAAAGGTCAAGATGAGTGCACTCACCTGTCTGTCAAATATACACCACTAGGATTAGACTACCCTCGCTTCACAGATGCTTGCAGTACTGTCGGTTACCACCAAGGGGAGCTCTGAAGCTGTGATCGCTTGTTAGGCATATAGTATACCCATTTCTCCCCACCCCTCCCCTTTCTCTTCTCTCTCTTGGCAGCAAGTCCCTATCACCTCACCTAATTCTGTCTGCTTCATTTTATCCTGCACAAAGCTGACAAATTCATAGGTTTTGTGGAGAAAGACAGCAAATATACACATGCAGAGGGAGAGGGAGAGTCAGAGAGACGGCCGGGCTTGTAAGAGCTCACAGGCTTTACTTATTTTGGAGCTTGTTGATGCAGACGTAGATATGCATGACGTTGCAAGCGACGTTAGAACAGTAGACGCATAATGGATGAGACTTTGAACACCACTGGTTCAGTACGATGACCTTAGCTAGTATTTGGTAGCTTGGTGGCTATATTTTAATATATCATGTTAGCTTCAATAGGCAGCAGAAGACAATGGTTTCAATTGTGTAAGTGACTGTTCACATTTTCAGCTGCATTTAAGGAACAGATAATATAATTTAAATAACTTAATTTATGTAAAGGTCACCAAATGTGCACATGCTGATGAACCAGTCTCTACAATTCTTATTTATTAGTAATCACACGTGGTGTTATGTGCAGGGAATTTTAAGTAGGTGAGTAGGATCAAATGAGTATAACATTCACCTTAATCCTCATATACTCAGACAACTGTTTTATATTTGTATACAATTATTACATCCATAAACGTATTTACAGGATGACGTCTTTTTCAGGGAAGGCCTTGTGCATTTCAGGCATGAAATGCTAAACCGCATACTGCATCTATTACAACAACATGGCTTCACTGTAGTAGAGTGCTGAACTGGCCTTCAGGACCTTTTATCAATTGAAAACATTTGAGGCATCAAAACTACAATAAAGATCACCCATGGCCCTTTTCCAAAAATGTTTTGAGGGGAGTGCCTTCAACTTCAAAATGACCCAGTGCCTTTTTCTAATAGTTTTGTTTTCTAGTTTCGTTTAGTTCAGTTTTTTTTTTGAATAAAATATGTGTTTATGAGATTTGCAAATCATTGTATTCTGTTTTACGTACATTTTACAGTGTCCCAGCTGTTTTGGAATTGGGATTGTAGTCCAACTTATTAAACTGTAAGTAAAATTTTTTAAAAAAAGTTATTAACTTCATTATTTGAGCTTAAATTGGCCAACTGTTGATAGACTATGGTAAAAACTTTGGTCATTTCTGACTAAATTTCAAAATTGAATGCACTGAATAGGACTGTAAGAACATCTGATGCCACACGCCACTGTATTCTACACGGAAACATGTCCGCAGTCATTGATCTGCTGGGTCAGAGGTGGTCAGTGTCACTGATATCTCTGTTTAAGTGTCTCTTCATGGGAAGTGTCCAGTGTAAACGTAGAGCTCTTCAACATTAGGAGTGCCTGTTAAGTCAATTACAAAGATCCACTGGGGATTCAGTCTGGACTGTCAGTCAATAGAGACTGCCTCGAGAACATGATGTGGGTGGTTAGTTTTTATACATTAAAGATGTGTAGAACTTTACATAACAGAAGAAAACTTGATATTTATTACTCAGTATTTTAAAAAAAATCTGAAAGGTTTTGTGTCAAGATTTCTCCACCAAGTTATAGAAATAAAACAATGTACGTTCTCGTAGAATATCTAGTTCACTAGACATGCTTACTAGTTTCAAGACCCAGATATATTAAATATGTTATGAGGCCATCTTGACTGACTATAACTCAATGTTTTTTTTCCAATCAAGAAAAGATTCTCATAGTCAGCCGACTTGCCAGTGCGCAGCTTGAGCCCGTTGCGCTGCAGTGCTGCTCTGGATGGGCGTCATGAACAGGAGTAGACAGTGTATACAGTTGTAATCAGAGGTTACCATACACCCATAAAGCTAATTAGCCTGTATTTATACTTTTGATCATGTGTGGATTAGAAAAAAAGAAAAATGTACGTATTCCACACGGGAAAAAGACCAGCTCAAAGAAATCTTTAACAGCCAAAACTTATCATGACATTCATGCCCATAATGAGGCATGAATGTCTAGGCATACCATACAAACCTCCAAACAGACAATAATGCTGTCAGTGTAGCAAGTGCGTATGTGTATGGCATATGTCATATTTACCTAATGATCATTATGGTGCAGTAGGTGGTAGGTGGATTGGCTCATGCTGTAAATTTTTAAACTTGTGTTGGCTTTCCAAACTCATTACATTAGTCTCGCTCTGCTGATTACACATTTGTCCGTACATGTGTGCATTTCTGAGCCAGGGTGTCTAAATGGAGCCTGTGTGTTTCTGAGTGTGTGATCATTTGCCTTTATCCTAAGGCAAGTACAGCATATGCTAATAAAAGATCAGCTTTACAAATGTCAGACTAACTTACCGCACTGAAATGTCCAAGAACATTACTGCAATACGACTCAAATTGCAGTGTGGTTAGCATAAAGAAATTCCCTATAATTTAACAGCACTTATTCCACATTAAGAATCACTTTGCTGTCATGCTTTTTGTACAACAAGAAGTTCTCCACTGTCTAGAAGTGGCTTAATACTACTGACTGCTTTTCACAGATATTTTTGAAGACAAACATAAAGAAGCTGATGCACCATCTTTGTGTTAATGTATTCAGGCTAGGCTTTTTTGCATCCAGACTGCTTACAATGCCCATTATTAGTTCTGACAAGCCATTTATTCCAATTACAATTCCTCCCAAAAATGTGAAGAAGTAAGCACGGCAGGTGTAAGTGAAATTGATTGTATCTTGCTGCTGGTATCTGCACCTGCCAATTGATGACTTGCTGCATCCAGAGGGTCCAGTATTCAGAGAGTTCACTGTCGATGCATGTCCTTTGTGTTTTCTAGCATACACAGACCCACGGTATGTCACAGAGATTACACACAAACCTGTGTTCTTTTGTTTTCCATTAGCTACCATTAAAGGTTTGCAAAGATGTGTTAGGTAATTTGTTCAGAAAGGTCTTAAGAGCATTGTCACCTTTGATAAATTGTGGTGCATTCCATTTGTGTACCTGAGTAAATTATGTGCATACATACTAAGCAGAGCACTTCTCCTCCTGGTTCATTAATAAGAACATTGCATAAATCTTTGGATTTCTTTGATTTCATGTACTGTATGTTAACTATAATGTTATCTGTCACATGTTTTTCGTATCTTTTGCCTTTGCATGACAGGGGCATGAAGATGACATGTATCATTGGTCACCTGGTTCATCTTTAAAACAAAAAGCATCAAAATAGTAATAGAAAATAGAAAAGGTCCTCCTGTTCAACTTGACCCTGCAAAAAAGAAACTTCTGTTATGACAGAAAGGAAGAAAAACAAGCAAGAGAGGAGAAAGGTAAGACAACGACTCAACGTATTCTCCATATGCTGAGAGAAAAAGACAATGATTCAAAGATAGCGTGTGTGGCAAACAGATGCACAATCCTGACTGCTGCGGCCTCGGATGATGCAGACAGTGTTTACCTGGCGCAGGTTGCGGGTGACGCGCACATCATGCCAGGCGTTGTCATTGAACTTGCCGTTGACAGGCTCCACCAGAGCCTCAAAGGCCCCCGAGCCCAGGTTGATGACTAGCCAAACCGCGCCGCTCTTCAAGGAAAGATTTACATAGTCAGCCGACTTGCCAGTGTGCAGCATGAGCCCGTTGCGCTGCAGCGTTCGGAAGGAAAGCGTGATCTCGTCGGTGCTGCTCTGGATGGGTGTCATGGACAGGTCGTAGCAGAAGAACTCGTTGCCCTTGAAGGTGGCTACTGACTCTTCCTTGCCTGGAAAAAATAAAGTGGGGGTAAGGGGGGAAGAGAGGTAGGTCTGTAAGTAAAAGGACATTTCTGTTCAGGAGTTAAAGCTTTGAAATTAGCAGCATGTGTGTATTCAAAAATCAGTCATTCTATTATTAGTTTACTTTTTATGTGGGGAAAAAACAGACATCAGAGGGTTAATTTAAAAGATGGCGCTTTGCAATATGAAGCTACAAATGACAAATTGACAAATGAATATCCTAAATATCTATTAAGATGATCTAAAATATAACACTAAACACAACATTTTTGCTCTTTTAATTTATATTAACAGCGCAAGAATCACAGAATATCTAAAAAGCTTCTGTCATGTGAGATGTGTCCAGTACAAAGGCAACATCAGCATGGTTATTTTGTTAGCTTCATTTTTTATTTTATTTCTTTTGGTGTAGGACTTTTATACATCGAAAATGTATAATGTACCAATGTAAAGATTGGTACATCAAATCTGCTCATTCCACACAAGTTGAAGCGGAGACTTGGTGAGGCTGCAGCTTGCTGCTGGTCATCTTGACACGGTGATGTAAGTTGGATGCACTGGTGTGTTCATTTACTCCAGAAGGTTAAAAGCATTGTGAGGTTATATAGCCCATTTGGAGATGCAACTGATTTGATAAGGTTACTAATTTTAGTAGAACATTGATAGTTGCTGTCACTCTTATACCCCCAACAAACGTTTTAAACATGGAAGCTTTGCAGATCAAAAACAAGATTTGCTCATAAATTGAATCCCACAAACAAGTAACGTCAGTGCAGACCGATGCATCTGCACTACAACACAGCGGCACGACAGCATCTTGTGTAAAATAGGATTCCTTTCATCAGAGCAAAGCAAACATCTGGGTTACAATTAGATACAAAGATGTGTTTGAATTACAGCAAAACAGAGAAACATGAAAGCAGAGACTAGACAAAGTGAAACTGAAGAACACTTTTTTAAAGAGAGAAGGAAGGGGAGGAAAAAAGGTGTTGACAACTTTGCTAACGCCTGCCAGTCTGTCTGTAGCACATGGCCTCCTTCCACTACATTGAGCTTTATTCACACACTACCAGTCAAAACAGACAGTTTGTACAATGGACATATGTCAAACAGCAGCCTAACAGCAGCCAGGGAGGACACTGTGTGCATCTGTCAAGAAATGAACAAACACTTGCAGCTGTCACAACAGAAAAAACGCAGCAAGAACACAGAGAACAGTGACACCTCCGTCACTTGAGTCATGACGTGGACGCTGGATTCACTGAGCAGGAGAAATAGTAACATCTGGCTCGCCGTACTGTTTCTTCTGACTTGCAATCTACTTATTTACTCCTTTTACATTTTATATCTAATATTTTAATTGAACCATTTTCTGTCGCCCCAAATCCCATTACTCTTATAAAGAGCAATAACCTCATTTCCTGGCTGGATCAACTCTGTGTCATTTTAATTTGGGAATAATAGCAATTCAGCTGCTTGGCAAAAGAAAGAAAAGAGTATAAACAGACAACATCACCGACAACAGCATGAGCTCAAGTTTAAAAGAACTCTTGCTCGCTCTGCACTTACACAAATCAACTAGTTTCCTGACATGAGCTGTGATCTGAAGTGACACTCTGCTTCCTATGTTCATTTGCCCTTCTACACTTCTGTTTCCCCGAGGACGCCGGTCTGAAGAATCAGCCTTGAGTAATGAGGTTTAGGGAGGGGGAGAGGGCAAAGTCAAACTGCCAAGAGGACCCTGTATGGGTGGATCATCAAATCTAGTTTATCCTGAAGTTCCATTACACACGGAAAAAGAAAAAAAGAATGACTTCAAGACCTTGGTGCATTTCCCTGAGGAGAAGGGATGGGCTGGCCAGAAGGGACGGCCAACCCATTGGCGGACATATTGAAAGGCCAGATCACATGAGCAGGTGAGAGAGGAAAAACGTGTGGTGGAAGGGTGGGCCGGGGAATAATAGCATGTCGATTTGATGCTCAAGTGCCCTATATCACCAAAGATTTTTCAGTGTCAGGCAGCACACGTAAGGAAAAAAGCACATTACATCATGTGGATGAGGAACAAGTGATGGATGGATGACACGAGCAAAGGAAAGGAGATCTTTAAAGAGTGCCGTGTTAAGTGACATACTAACAGCTATACTTCGGGAACATTAAGGAAGATGATAGCGCTCACTTTGAGACAAAACACAGCCACATAATATGGGTGGATGCACTCACATAAAAGAAAACATTTCAGGAGTGACAAAAAAAAAAGAGGAAGTGAGGGACAAATAGCATCCAGACAGAGACAGCTACTTAAAAGAGCATTTTGGCTGAAATCGAAATTTAGAGCAATCTCAACTGAAGTGTGAATTGTCATAAAAAAAGGCATCAAGAGTGGAGAGAAGGAGATGGAGGGGACAAATGACACACAAAAGCAAATCCCCCCAAGAGCAGCATCCTAGCGGTGCCTGTGTTGCTGATGTAGGAGGAACAAAAGCGTAGCAAATGGACCACAGCAACCATTTTCAATTATGTACTAAGTTGGACCACCTCCCATACTATGGGCTGTTAACGGTAAGCAACAAACAGCTTGTCCATGCTTCCATGAGCTCAGTGAGACTGAGCTCCATGCAATGCAGAGACAAACAACAAAAAAACTTTCTTTTGTTTATGTCTGTTTAATGAACAGAAGGCTGAGGGGAGGAGATAAGGCTGGAGAGTGACAGGAGAGGACAAATGGGTGGGTGGATTTTCACCGTAACACCAGACAGTTTGGTCATGATGCCAACAATGCCCTTCAGCAAATTATGTAAAGGTTAACACAGTCATATGATTTTTGGATAAGAATTTGGAGCCAGAAGTAGAAGCAAAAAAAGAAACAAAACAGCATCATTAGCAAGTCAGTAACACACTGCAGTGCTATCAGGGATCCACTGATCCTTCTCATGTTAGCCAGCTTAAGTCATTTCCAGTATCCTTTGTATACTCTGGGTGATCTTCCTACACACTGCGGAGCACTGGAAAAGCTCTCCTGCCGGTTCCCAGGAGTGACACGATCGCTTCAATCTAGGCGCAAAACCTAATATAAAGAATGACTTTTCTCTGAGACCACTCCAGCTCCTGTGAATATGAGCTTGTTCCTATGCATCTGTTTTTCATTTTACATCTACATCTCTATCTCGTCCTCCAGTTCCCATGGTAGCGCTCTTGCGCACATACACACTTGAAGTGTATGCGTTTCACTCTGATCAAATCTTTTGCAGTAAAGCCCAAGAGTAGACTCTAGCCAGAGGAAAGAGGAGACGCAGAAGCATGCAGAAGAGACTAAAGTGCTGTCAAGGTCTCAATTAATCTCACAGAAGCCCTGACTACATTACAGAAATGACTTATTTGAAATTTATCCACCCATAATAACATCGTTTTTTTTTTTTTTTGTCAATTAAATGTTGAGTTCCTCTGATATTTGATTTTATAACATGTGTTAAATACACCTTTGGTGCTAGTTTTTTTAGGGGCCAAAGTGATACACTCATTCCAACTATGCAGAGCAATCCATCCAGCAGTTGCTTCATGAATGCGCAGATTTATTGTGCGTATCATCTGTCTTTATGAACAAATGCAACTTCAGTGGCCTTTCCTGGTGTTCAGGTTGTTATATCCACCGGCTATCCAATGGGAAGAAGCACCACTGGAAGCTTGGTGGTTTCAAACATTAAATAATGCTAGTATATAAGATGTGCAAAGCAAATTCAAACTCAGACTTGATAAAAATATGACGTTCAGAAGTGCTGAACCCTTCCAGTTCTTAACAGTATCATACCACCTCTTTTTCCCCAAGCTCTCCTGAAAATAGTATTTAAAAACGTATTAAAACACATTAAAAAATTACTTTTTTCCCACATAACTTTACACCTCGCAGAAAAATGGACACGCTAACCTCAACTCCCACTTACTAGCTCTGTCACAATCAAACCACCATCAACGCAGCAGCAGTTAAGCACTTTGCAGCAGACACTGTGTCAAGCAGTTTGTTTACTGCGCTATGTGGCCTTCTGTGTTCTTTGAGGATGTGCGCTTTATTTATGTGAACTGAAGGGTGAAGAGGGAAACAGGAAGACGATGGAATCCCAGCCAGAGAGGAATCAATGGCATTGTCTTAGCCTATCGCACACTTCGACCTACACACCCACATTCAGTACCACACATGCAGTCTTAACAGTACAGCTACTGTGTCACTTAAGTGCTACTTTATAAGCATCAGGGTAAGATTAAATGAATATGCCCGCCTGTCATACCAAAGTGTTTCAAAAATTTGTCCATGCTGGAAAAATAGGGTATCCTAAATTGTGATAAAATGTCATACGCAAATACAATCTGCGTTTGTCAGTGCTGGACCCAAAAGCGCCGTTTTAAGCTAACCATTGCTGGCTTTTACAGTAATAAAAGCACAGAGCAGCATGTGTTTTTAAATTGGATTCAGCTCAGACAGAGAGACAGGTTTAATAAGATGAGCTGCATGACTAGCTTCATCCAAACTTGTGCAGAGCATTAGTCAACGCATAATGAACCTTAACATACTGCTTCTTTGGCCGATTGGATTACATATCGGAAGTGATTACGTAGTTTTAGGGGAATTAGCAAAGAGAGAATGGAATAAGACGAGACAAAAAATAAAAATAAACGTGCATGTGTGCATGCAAAACCATTCGAAATCTCGATGACCACACGCTGGCAAATCTGCTCGTCACATCACATTACCTCACTGCTCTTGCACAGACGCACACGCCATGTGCATATGAAGTCACCCTCTATTAGTTTTCGATGAGTGCCATCCACCCTGCAGAGAGAGTATCCGACAGCTTTGGAGAAACGATTCGGCAGCAAGATGAGAGAGAGCAGTGGGAAATGTAAGGGGCATATGAAAGCTTTGATGCTGCTTCATGAATCCAATAGGCCTGCTGGGTCCACAGACAGCGGCTAGTCTCCTAAGCTAGCTGTA